ATTAAACATTAAATTAAACACGTCTGATTTCTGGATTATATTTCCATGTTTTCACCTCCACGTACATGGTAGACGACCGCTGGAGGATTAAGAAATCAATCACGCATCCCTTGAAAATGAGAAGAAAGATACATCATAAAATCATGATTCATCGATCATTTCCACGTCGCCGCTCCCGANAATACATTACAAGTTCCTGATGGCTCTCACCGTCATAACTGACATGGCCATTCACATAAATTAAACATTAAATTAAACACGTCTGATTTCTGGATTATATTTCCATGTAAACACCTCCACTTACAGATTAGAGGTGTTTACCGTTGAAGGATTAGGAGATCAATCAAGTATCCCTTGAAAAATGAAAATGAGAATGATATATTATGAAATCATGATTCATCGATCATTTCCACGTCGCCGCTCCCGATGATACTATCCGAAGATGCATTTGTTGCGCTGCTACCTTCCTCTTCTTCTAAACATGACTCGATCATTATTTCCAACAAAACCATCATATCCTTACACTTTTCAAATCTAGAATAAAGCAGAAAGTAATCCAAAAAACTTCCTATAAATGAAAAACAAACCTTTCAGGAAGGCATTGACATTTGCTAGGATAATACTGAACGCGTACAGATGATTCCTCCGTTCGGCTAGCTGCAAAAGATAAATGATTTGGAATCTGCACAATAAAACAATTCAGGAACTCAAAAAATACTGCAGGAATAGAGAAGTAGAATCTGTTAACTGCATGAAGCGTTAAATATTTTGCCTTGATGATTTATAATGCTCGTCTCAGAGCTTCCTAAGAACAATCACGAGATAATATTTGCTCTATTCATTGACTTTAACAAAGAGAATTTTTACTGAAGTCACAGAAGAAATCAACGAAAACTAGGCGTAACAGCTGGAAAAAATTCAGCCTTACCTTCGCTTCCAATTTCCGTTGTCTTTCGTGCTGTGATTCCAAATCTTCCTTGACTGCCTCTAACTTTCTGAAAGAATCACTATCAACATGACCAGAAAAAAATTCAGGTAGCTTGTTTCTTTTCATTCCGTGGAAATACTACTGCATTTCGATCGAATAGGACGGGACGAACTCACTTATTCGTATCTTGACGTGACGGAAACTGCTGTATGACATTCGCCAGAGCCTCGTACTCCTCTTTATTCCGTCGAATCACCTTCGCTGCCTCCAGCTCCTTTTTGGCCGATTGCATCCTCTCATGCGCACAAACAATCTCATTATCTGCAAATGACTGAACAGTTACACCAAAATTGCCTTAATCAATCATTCGCCACAAAAGAGCGATCGAACCGAATTGACATCGTCCGACAGATCGAAAACTCCAACCAATTCAAAAGAAACTCGAAGTGATCAGTATCAACACACACAAAACCAACAAATCATAATACTCATTTACCAATTTCTTGAGCCATCCGTTTGTATTTCTCTATTTGTTCTTCATTCATTGTTGCGATCAACCTTTGTTTATGGAGTGATGTTTCAGCGGCGTCCAATAGTTGCATGATTCGTGGTAAATTACTGAATTCACAATCCATAAATTTAATCACATAATGCTTTCGCCCACACCCGACTATCGCCAAAGTTCTTACTAAATGGTTTCCGAATCAACTCCATTCCGTCTAAATAAGAACACCTATGGACTGCTTAAGATATGAATAAATCGAAGAAGATATAAAAATTTTCCAGCCTAATCCCCTTATTCACAGTTCTCACTCAACAAAACTGCCAATAAGGATCCGTCCATACTGCTCGCTCGCCAATAGTCCAGGAATTGGATTCAACTCCAAGTTTCAGTTCAGAATGAGACTTACTTCTGAGCCGTTTCTGGATCCTTCATCGACTTGATCAGTAACGATGCCAATACTGCGAATCGCTTGTCATCTCCACATCCGTGACCATCTGCCACCAGTTTTCTTATAATGCATTCCTCATTCATTTCTCGCTATGTTCAACCTGTATCTGAAGCACTTCTTATTGTTAATAATAAACACATCCTTCATACTATCACATCAGTGAAACGAATGACTTTTGATACCTTATATGACCATTCAAAAATATACACCACTTAACAATTATCCTACGTAATCTTTACGACTGAGGTATCTCACAGAATATTTCAAGCTCATTTCATTACTCATACTATTATACATTTCACTCCGTACCATTATCAACATCACCGTAACCTCTCGAAGTGCACAGTTGAAATCCAGCAAACCTGGATTGCATTATACTTTCACACACGCCCATCCTAGTCATACTAACAGCTCCAAACACATGTATTAAGTTCTAGAATACATCCATTTGATACAATCATATCATTTCACACCAACGTCATTGCTATAACCATCCCACTTTTTTCAATATATGCGCAATCAGTGCACCCGTTCTAGGAAAGTCAAATGAACAATTCATTTACCCTTAGTCGAACACTCTCTCACAAAATGCCCAAC